AAAAAAAAAAAAAAACAAAAAACAAAAAAACAAAAGAACAAAAACAAAAAAACAGAAAAACAAAAAACAAAAACAAAAACAGAAAAATGCTCAGAGATGGGGTGGGGTGGAGAAGACTGTACAGGAAAATAAGTGTAATTTTGGAAAATAAACTGTAAACAAATACTAAATGTTTCCCTAGTAATACAAAATATTCTCTAAAATGTTTCTCTACTTGCTATAATAAAACCGTATTTTAAGAAAAAAATGCATTTGGCATATAATATACCCAAATCTTGAGTCATAAAAAGCTTAGTTCCAGTCTTCATTCAAGCAAAACACCCACAAAAACCAATGTTTAAGAATGTCAGAACAAGTAAAATCAGTACCGTAAAGTAATACTTTTAACATTATTTCCTTCTTCAGATTAAGATATAAAATCACAAATGAAAAATTCCAGTAAGAATTTTAGAATTAGCTCAGAAATTAAATTCACTCTTTCATGTTATAATTATAAATCTTCATAAAAAGACCATCTAGAAGGAAAAAACGTAGAGGCATAAATTCTTTGATAAACACAATACCACAATTGTACCAGGTTACAAAAGGAGGCAGGAGCATCACTGGGAAGTTTCCATAAAACATTCCTGAAGTTGGTCTCTATCCTAACAAGTCACCAATTACTCAGAACATAGCACAGAGGTGACATGATACGGACGTTTTTGCAGACTACTAAGCAAACAGGCTGCTACATCCTGGATTGTCACTACAGGTAATAGAGAAGATTCACTGGAGGAAAAACTTTGCATTTCCAACTCTGCCTCTGCATCATAACAACTTCTTCCCTCTCCATGCCCATCCAAGTCCACATCAAAATGAAAAAACAAACAAACAAAAAACCTAACACTTCAATGCTTTATCAGCTGCCTGAAAATCATCTCCAAAAAGGAGTTTGTGTATTTGGTGAAACATTAATCTAAATATTTGCCAGAAGTGGGTCAAGTTTACAATGTTATTCTGTAGAATGGAAACAGAGTAGAGTGTAAGGTACTTCCTATAAATTTTGAGAGTTGTAATGCTCCACTGGCAAAAAACAAAGAAAGAAAGAAAGAAAGAAAGAAAGAAAGAAAGAAAGAAAGAAAGAAAGAAAGAAAGAAAGAAAGAAAGAAAGAAAGAAAGGAAGGAAGGAAGAAAGAAAGAGAATCACAGATTAATACAGAGAGTGGATTCCATAGAACCCTGACAACTCTGGAGGCTCATAAATCCTTTGAGCCAAACATGCTAACATGGGTTTTCAAAGCCACAAATGCAATGGAAGCATCTCTGTCTACAGCCAGGTCAATTATCTCTTTTCTCTTGACAGCAATGGTTCCACATACAAATATCTTCTTTGCTAAAAATTAGGAAAACAGTAAGAGAATTTTCTGTGCTGTTGGAAAAGAAACAAAATACCAGAGTTTGGAAAGACTGTGTTCAAATTTTCACTCAGGAATGCCAAGGTGTAATGGAAAGAATATTAAGGATTTATAAAGTCCAAAATTTGAATCTAGACTTTCCCACTTATTAATTTTATGATATTAATATGTTCTATAATCACTGAACCTCTTTCAGCCTGTTTCCTCATCTCTATAATGAACTATACCCTCAGCCAAACTGGGCCTTTTTGTTCCTCAACAGCATCAAGTTCCTCTAGTTCTTAGGTCTTTTGAAGATATTATGTCTGTTTGAAATGCTCTTTCCTCATTTCTTGTCTGGCTAAATCTTAATGATAACCAAAATTTCTGTTAGATACACTTTTTCAAATAATACTTCTTTGGTCAACCCCCATCTATATAGGTTTATGCTCACATAGAACCCTGTGCTTTTCCTTCATAGTAATTAATAATTACTTATTTGGTGGTTGTTTTATGTCTGTCTTTCTCAATAGGGTGTAAGCTCTGTGACAGACAAGACAATAACAATTTTGTTCACTACTTTATCCCCATTGCCTAGCACAGTGCAGGAACTAAACAGCACTCAATACTTATTTGTTAAATTAAGGATGATAGGGAGTACAAAAATGAAAAACAAAACAAAACAAGTCACACAGCCAAGTGACCAAAGCTCAAAAAGCTTCCTAGATGAAATAATGTCTCAACCAAGACTGAAGGATAAGTGAAAACTAGCAAGAAGGGGTAGGACACAACACTGTCCAGGAACAGTGACATACCTCCGCTTTCTTTTTCCTAGATCTTAGATCGTTTTAAATAATGTATTTCATTTTGGATAGGAAGTTAGTTTCTGACCTCAACCTTATGTACATAATAAATTCTGTACATAAATATGTAAAATGCAATCCAGAATGAAGGTACAATAAAAGTATAATTTGCTAAAGGAATATAGAATAGGGAAAGAGATTTTTATGAGGATTAAGAAAAGTTTCAGAAAAGAGATGGCATTCGATCTGGACACTGAATAATGAGTGGATACAGAAGCAAAGGAAAATTTCAGAAGAGTTCAATTTTGAACATGTTAACTTTGAAGTGACAGTAGGATATCATTTGTTTAGTTAACAAGTATGTTATTAATTGCCAACTACATACCAAGCTCTGTGCTAGGCAATGGAGATATACTAATAAATATAACATAGCTTGCATTCTAGCAGGGACAAAAATATATTCAATAATTAATTTTACTATAAGCAGTTCAGGTAATATCCAAATGGAGACAAAAGTAATTTAAAAATTCAGAGGTAGATTAATTAAAGCTATATATGTTTAAAGGCAAATAAAAGAAGCCCTAAAAATATTTCAATTCTCCCTCCCTATAAGCTTTCTTCTTTGGTGAAAAGAAGAGAGATAGAGTATTGGGGAATTCATACATGTAAGAAAAAGACGAGAGAAATCTAATGACAAAAATTAATATAGAAGGGTTAGATATAAGGGCAAAAACCATGAATATGTCACAGAGGGAGCAAAGAAGGTACTGTAGGGAAGGATTAGACAAAACTGAAAAATGTGAAAATAGTCTAATATTACGAGGCCTAAGAAGAGATTATTAAACATATTTTTTAAGTTTTAGTAAAAATTAGCTTATAAAAGGCTAAAAAATACATGGGAAATAAAGTATAACTCTTGAAACAGTGTTTAAAGTATAAAAATAGGATTATCAGTATAATACTCATTATTCTCAGTATATACACATTAGTTACTAACAAACCACCATTTTTCCAGGCTTCAATGATTACATCATCATAGCATTATCATCAGCTCTATTCTTATCAGCAGCCTCCTCAGCTGGTTAATCTCCAAATTACTGATTGCAGATAAGTAACAATAAATATTTAATACATTTAAGTTACAAGAATTTATAAATAGAAAAAAACATTTAAAAGTTTATGATAATAGAAATAATAAACACATTTTCATTATACATATACATATATATAATCATATATATTATTAGTTGACAGAATTAAGAATATAGGCAACTCTACATATTCCACATCTTTGGAAAGCCTGTGAACTAGAATAATAATTATTATTGTTAACACTGGCTTTGTTGTGTCCATTATCCATTTTTCCATCTCCTGAACATACTTAATATATAGAAAAATACTTTCTAAAATTACTATACTTTTGTTCAATTTGAAATTACTACTCTATGGTATGTCAGATTCAAAATATTTTCAAAATAACTAAAAACTAAACATTGGGTCCACAAAGTACAGTACTAGTATTTTAGCATTCACAACTCTGATCTTGCCATCAAGTGAATTCTTCAAACAAATACAGACTTTCTCTCCTCCAATCATACTGCTCCTTTACAGAATATCCTCTTTTCCACCAGTTCAAATTCCTTCATTCTTTTATTCACTGAGCACAGTGCTGGAGAAAATATAAAAATGATGAGACACGTTCCTCCCAGGACAGGCAGTTATAGAAACAACTAATTGTAAAGCAATGTGAAAGGCAATATAGGATCATGAAGGAAGGAATGCCTATTGTTGCCTAATGGAGTTGAAGACCCAGATGTGAATCATTTTCTTCAAGAAAATTTAACTGACTCACACTACCTTTTTCTCAATGATTTTTCTTCCTTTATTTTTTTTTTTAAGTTTTTACTTAAATTCTAGCTAACATACAGGGTCATATTAGCTTTAGGTGTACAATTAAGTGATTCAACACCGGTGCTCATCACAAGGGCACTCCTTAATCCCCATCACCTATTTAACCCATCCTCCCACCCACCTCTCCTCTGGTAACCATCAGTTTGTTCTCTATAGTTGAAGTCTGTTTCTTGGTTTGCCTTAAAAGTCTCAATGATTCTTCCACTGTGTTGTACTTACATAGCACTCATGCATCTTATTCATTCATTTGATATTTCATTCACTCATTCCAACATTAACTCATCCCACAAATATTTAATTAATCATCTGGAACTATTCTGAGTATTGAGAAAACAAAAGAAGATATCAGTGTCCACACTAAATTGATAAAATCATCCTCCTCTCATGATTTCACCCTGAGTAGAGCCAATCAGAAGTATTGTAAGAGCCCATCATTCTACAGCTATGAATTGTGGAATTTTCACCTTTAATCTTGTATTGGGGGGAGATGGAGGGACACTGTGTGTCTCCTCTACTCTCAATACTCCACTACAAACAATACTACTTCACGTGACACCAGATGTGTGGGTTTTCTATACATCAAGCAATTCTGCAACACCAGCTAAGTGTTCTACAATTTAACTCAATTCTGACACTGTCTACCAGTATCAGATCCCACCAGTTAAGGGCTCAGGACCATAAAACTACTCCCCACCTCCCCCTCTTCAGATGCTCATCACAAAGTCCAGACTGTTACCTGTGCTTCTGACCCACCTGCCATACATCAGAGATTCCCACAACCCTCTTTTCAATTAATTTGCTAGAGCGGCTCAAAGAATTCAGGAAAACATTTTACTTCTTAATTTA